GAATTTATACTCTTATGTCTCTGTGGGGTGCAAACATTAAAAACCTAAAAAAGCCATGTTGACTATTGATGGTGTAGAAATCAAATAAGTTTCAATAAATCAATTTATTTGCCATATGTTTAGCCGTTTAGGTAAGAGAACCTTGATGTTTGTGCGCTTAATATTATATAGGACTATATTTATAAAATATTCGTATATATACGTCAATATAAATATAATTATTAGATTAATGATTTATATATTAGTATAATTCGTGGACGATTTCAGATTTTTCAAATGTTTTTTTTTTTGTCTCTCTCTATAGTAGTTTAATTGTTGAGTAGCCTGGTGTAGAGCAGACAGGTCTTTGAGTTAGACCAGTGATACCTAACGTGGGTGGTACCACCCCCTAGTGGGTATTTTGGTTTGTGAGGGGGTAGGTGAACTCTCAAATGCGGAATAATGGAAAAAATAAAATATACCAGTGTCAATTGACGCGTATTATTATACTTCTTTCTTTTGTAGAGGTCTTTCTTAAAGTTTAAATTGGAGTCAAATAAAACATTTATTCACTAAATATTAAGAGTTTTATTTTAATTTAAAAAACTGATACATAAAGGTATGACATTTTTTGTTGGAAGGGTGGGGCGTAAGYTGTCAGTTATTTTGGTAAGAGGCCCGGAACCGAAAAATGTTAGGAACCACTGAGTTAGAACATGTTCCTTGTCTCGTTTCGTTCGTTATACCTCGGGGCGTTGGAGCTGGATATAAAGGTATTATTATGTCAATGTTTAATATGTTAATTTGTACTTCATTTTTATACTGAGTGGTCCATAAGACATGCAATATTATAGAAAATTATTTTTTAAATTATTCTACATTGATTTAATTCGTTACAAAATAATATTTTTTTAACTTTATATTCGAATAATAATAATTATTATTATTAAATAATAATAATTCGAATTATTTTAATCTATAAAAATAAAATTTTGTAAAATTCAAATTTTATGTATCAAACTACTTCAAAAAATTGTTAAGTTGGGAGTAAAGAATTAAGAATAAATTTCGCAAAAGAAAAACATGGTGGTAATAAAAAATGGTAATAATTAGGGCTCGGATGTTTATGCACTTAAAACAACTGTAATAATATGC